CTTGTGGGCGGGACCCCTCGCGACCATTTTAGATTGCTCCAGTAGAGCACATTTTTTGGCCCATTAGTTAGAACGGCAGAGATAGGCGTGACTCTGTCCATTAATATATACAGTCTATGATTGGAACACAGCCATGTGATTGTAGAGAAAATATTTTTTTGCCAAAACTCACACCTTATGTAAATGCAGTGAGACAATTACAGTCTACCATAATTACAGGTTTGAGACAGGAGCGTTTTGACAGAAGGGGTGTAGTTACAAGTTTGTGACAGAAGTTCCGGATATTAGCGCAAAAGTATCAAACAAAATCTCCATGTCCTAACACTGTTAAAAGCCCAAAAACGGTCCTTTAAGGTTTGTAGCTGAGTTGACCTCTTGAAGCCCTCGAAAGTACGTTTCAGGACATTCCAAAAACTTCAGGACTGAGCAGCAGTGGAATCGGGGCAAGTGTGCGTGCGTGTGCAAAGCTCCAGCTGCAGAGTGGTTTACCCTCAGCCTAGTTTGATACAGTCCAGCTGCAGAAACTGAGACGCGGAGGAGGGGGTCGAGCTGCTCAATTATGATCAATCAAAAATAAACGTAAAAGACTACAACTTCTGCAAAATGTTACCTGTATGAAAATAAGACTCCATAGCAAACAATCTTTACAAAAGGTCATTCTAAATTGACTCGAGGAATAGTCGAAATCGCTAGTAAAAACTGATTTCTTCTCAAGGATCCAGAAGACAATCCAGTGCCGGTGAGAGGCAAGGCCGTGTTGACGGCAAAGGGAACGGCATCTGCAACTAATGTTTTTACTGGCCGCTGAAGTGTCATAAAATGATTTAAAGGATCTTTTACACAGAGTGCTTTTAGGGGCCTTGTATAAATGTGCTTTGAGCTCGACAGTTAGAGGTGGGGGAAGGGAGGCACTTGTTTCATTCGGTCTCAGGTTGTACATGACACAGGAACTCTGACTTCATTCATTGCAAACATCATTCCAAGGCTGTATACTGCTGCATCTATTCCAGACCTTCAATATACCCTTTCTCAAGAAATGCTAAATCCCAACACAGCAGCAACATTACCAAAGATAATTCGGCTTTAATATAAACTGGAACCTTATTGAATTACTCCTTTACGAATTGCGCTCGGAGCATTTCTGGTGAAAGCCTTTCTCAGTTGATTTGGCCACATATACCGTGTCTGGTGGTCTACTGATGTGTAAGGCCATATTCTCACGGCCGATTGCACTCAACACTGCGGCACAATAACACTGCAGCCATGTGACTGGGGCCCCTTACAGAGAAACATTGAGCAGTGCGGACATATTGCGCATGTATAAATGAGGAACAAACTTGTTCGTATGTATACAGAAAGCAGAATCCATATTACAAAGGCCCGTCAAATAAATGCACAAATTCCCAGGAAAGGGTTAAAGTTTTTGAGAAAGATTGTGAAACTCCAGGCGCAGTGTCTGAACGGCTCCTTCAGCATTCTTACCACATCCTGAAACTACGTCAATGTGATGGCACTGATCAGACAAACAAAAAATGCTTATCGCTTCAGTTAAAAACAACAGTTAACTCCCTCAGAAAAAAGCACTGTGGAGTTGTGCTTATCATTTCTGCAGCAAATGAAACACAGATATTTGGCCGTGTTACGCACAAAGTCTCTCACCTCCAACTGTTGCCAAACATCACAAACTCCTCACTTCTTTGAAACTCATCAATAAATTGCAACAGTTTAGCAGTTCCTCTGTGGTCTATTGATTATGGCGAAGTTTGAAGTAAACAATTCAAACCCACACTTAAAACCATGCTACCTGAACACTTCATTATTAGATACTCAAAATATTATTATTATAGTGGCACAATTGTGTTACTGTCTTGTAGTAGAGATGCAAGACTTATTCAAAATGGCAATGTCTTTCAGTCTTTTGTGAAGAAAAAAGAAAGGAATAAAATTATATGAAATAAGCTTTAAGAAAATCACACGAATGAAATCTTAAAGTCTTAAAAAGGAAGGTTTGATTTGTTTGGGGAAATCCCTTCAAGATGCAGCCTCTTATTTTCGAGGGTCCCATTTGACAATTCCACAACCATTGCCTTAACTTAAGCACATTAGCTATGTATTACTTTTTCTCAGGTGAGAGATTCCATGTAATCACAAATCTTGCAATGTTTGTCAGAAAAAAGAAAAAAAACACATACTAACCATTACTAATTTGAACAAAACTGCCACAAAGAGACCAAGAACAGGCACTTGGAGAGCACATACCGGGCCAACACCACGGAACAGAGATTTCAATGGGGGTCTTCCTACCATCACATCTACACATCAAAATTTCTACTCAATCTCTCTAGTAGTTTTTGGCAATCCTGGACCATTACTGGCAGGATAATGTATACGTGGCTGCAATATGAACAAACTTCTACTTTATTTCAGAAGTGCCAAAACACAAAGACTCAAATTACTTACGTCTCAAAAACTAAATAGTTTGTAATTTACAGATTGACTCAAGTATGTTTACAAAAGCACTACTCCATTTTACTTTGATAGTGTAAGACTCATGCAAATAATTAAAATTAATTTATATAGCGCATTTCACAGACCAATGTCACTTTGCACATAAACATTTTGGCACTTTAAAATTCAGAAAATCGGCGGTTTGGAAAATATTGTTATTGATTATTGTTTCCTCTGCAGTTGACCAAGCATGTAACCATGTAAACCGGTTTCTATTGAGATATGACCATCAGATGCATTTAAGAGCTCAGGGAATATTCAACTTATATTAGAAATGTACACAGCTGGACTCATACAGGCAACTCATTTTGTTTGCGACATTTTAACACAATTTCTCAATGAATGTTTCATCGTTTCATTTTGTGACATTGCATTGCAATTATTTGCGCTGCAAAATTAAAGGACGCCAAAAGTGTGCTTTTACAATTTATATGATAGTAATTTTATTTACAATTACGGTTCTAAAGTTGCGAGATGCTTTTGAAAGCGTCACAAGGTTTATTGATGTGCACGGAGACGGGACCAGAGGTGGTTGAACTGGTTTGAAAATGACGCAGAAGAGTGCATTTACGTAATCTGTTTCGTAATTGCACTCTTTTAGGGTTTGGGATTAGGCTGGAGCCTTCTTATTAAAAAAAGTTACATCAGAACACTCACACACTCCCAACAAACACAAAAGCTGCTTTATAATGGGTCAATGTGGTCATCCTTTAAAGTCATTTCTATGCCTCCCTCACTGCATAGTTACACCTCATCATAAGCATTCCGAAACAACATAGTGACATATTCTTCTAAGACTCTGTTCAACTCCTCTTTCATCCTCTGTTTACAAGAGGAAATGTCTTCATTGGAGAGAGAGGAGGAGGAGAGGGTGCATTCGAGCAAGCTGAACAAGATAGCCAGTGAAAGAAAGGAGACTTTGGCCATCTGGGAGTTTGGTCCGAGGCCAAACCACTGCCCACAGAACCCATGTGCATGCCTAACTGCCTTTTTCTGTAACCAAGTCAAGCTTTACTTAAACCAACAACATGCAAGAGGAACCACACGCAAAACACAGCAGCAATTGTGGGCAGGTGTCTCTCCTCAAATGTCCTTCTGTAGAATGAAATATCAAAATGTTCTCGCAAATCTATTTCACGTGTTACAGTCATTTTCATAACCTTCTAAATTTATACTACATTACCAAAATCAGGATCCAACTCGGTATTGACTGGTCGAATTATTGCCAAACAAGAACAATGGAGCACACCTCCCACTTGCAAAACAGAAATGAGCGCTTATGTGATGAAATAAAAACCTGTTGAGAGGGAAGCGAGTTTATGAAAGATGTCTGGTGTTATGAATTAAGACAAAGGAGGCTTATATTGCTATGGAACTTTGTACAGTAATGTGGTGCTACTAAAACTTGGCTTCAGGATAAGGAAGTTGGTAAAACTAAAGTTCAAACTGAGCAGATCCAACTGTGTATTCAGAGGAGGACAACAAGCAATTAAAATGATAAGAAAGCCGCAAAATTCCAGCTTTGAGACCTCCATACATTGAGGGTCTGTATGAGAGGTTCAAAGTGGACATACATGGGTGGTTATGTAGAACAGGATCCCAAACAAAGAACAAATGAATAACCCATGGAAAACAACTAAAAACAGGCCAAGATAGTGACTAGTTAAAAAGTGACTAACCACTTAATTGTGCATTTTCAGCATTATTTGGTCTAATTACACCAAGGGATACTGGTAGCTGCTTTAGTAAATCAAAACATAATAATAATCAATTTAGTTTGAATCTCGGTCTAGAAGCCTTCAGTCAGCACACTTCAACCTTTGATTATGTTCAAAACTAATAAAATAATTGCTTGTCAACCCTAACCCCATTACAAGTCCTCAAGTGTGGAGTAACATGTTCACATTGCTCAATAAAAACTGATGTTGCAGGAAATAAAGGGGCCTAGAAAAAGAAATAACACACAACACATCTGAGACTAACTAAAACCAACTAAAACACTTTCACTGCCAACTAAAGCAGTGAATGTGTATTGTACTACAGTGCCACTTTTTGTGTGTACATGAGAATCAAGCAGAAAGGGACCCTTGAAAATGTTGCTACATCCCAAATAAAAGTCTTTTTTCCATAATTGAATTGACTTTTACGACAATCATGTGTTCTTTCTTTGTAGTTATATACAGTCTATAGCTGTTACATTATAATTGTGGGAGCCAGGCCCCCAAGTCAAGACTAGCACTTTTTGTCTCCTTCAATACTGGTACAGACCAACTCCTAGGGGCTTTATCTTGGTTCCACATGCACAAATGCAAACATGTTTTTAGTAGATGTCCATGTGTGCTGGAGGTGTGACAGATAAGAACATGTTATATCTCTGTAAATATGTGAATGTGCAGAGTGTTTAGGCCTGCATATCTAACCACATGCAAGATTCCTTCATGTGTGTAAAGAGGAATATGTGTGCTGGATGGAAAGGACAAGGGTGATTATACCTGTGACAGTTGCCTCGGATCAGGAGCCCCAAAAAGGGAAGAGCTGGAGCTAAAACTTATGGCTCCTCTCCGGCTGAGGACGTGCTTGGGAACCGGCCTGTCTAGAGGCAAGACCGGCAGCTGATAACATACTTCCATTGAACAGTCAGAGCTGGATCCGCGTCAAAAAATGTATTTAAAAAAAGAAAGAAAGGGCAACGCAACTGGTGACCACAAGAAACAAATGCAGGGTAGGAGGATTGTTGGTAAATTATAAAGTGTTCAGAATCGTTGCAATGGAGTGATCTGCTATAAACGAGCAGAACAAGTGTTTTTGTTCATGATATGCAACTGAAAACTAATCTCCTTCATTGATGTTGCGTCTGGTCTACCCCCACCTTTGGTACGGTGCTGCTGCATTAGCCCTTTTCCTTCTACTCAAATCTGGGCCCACAAGCGACGAGACCTTGTTGTCATAATCGGCGTCTTTGTAGCAACGCTTCCTCATTTTTCAGAGCACATCCAGGCGTACGTGCACATGAGGCGCTTGGAGATCGGCGTATGGCATATCCCGCAACGAAAACAAAAGGCACGATCACTTCCAAAAATTGCCATAAACATATCTCTCCGTCTCACACACACACAGACACACACGCACAAACACACACACACTGCAGGCACCGGTGTCCACCAGGCGAAGCGAGACAGCTGCTGCGGAGCCTGGATGTGGAGAGTTCAGACGGGCTGACAGCGGCTGCGAGACTCCATCAGCGTGGGGGGTTTTTCTTTATCTTCAGCAGCTGCATGATGATGAAAAAGCAGTTGTTAATTCACCACTGACCGTAAAAGCACCAAGTGTCTGGCTCAGAGAGAGAGGGGAACCCCGACGCTCATTGCAACCACTGCGATTCCGCTGGCATACGCTCTGACGCAGACGCAACCTACAAAAAATCCGCGCAGCTAAAGCAAATTAATCCTACTTCTTATCGTACTGCCTACCTACCGTGCTAAACATTCGCCTACTGTATCGTTTTAAAGCGCACACCACCTGCCAGAGATGGTGCTGTTGGAGCGAGAAAATACGCCCTTGAGCAGAAAGCCACCAATCGTGTTAAAGCTGCCATTGCAAGCTGATCGTGGATTGGACAACATCCCCTACAATATTTACAACAGGCTGCGTGATTGGCTGTATCACCGGGGCGATTCCAAGACCTATATGAGCAGTCGTTTGCAGACGGCGTGGACTTTCTCAAGGGTATTCCTCCACAACGGGGCTTGCCCTGCTGCGGTCCACATCATTGCCTGTGATTACCTTCCTCTCATGAGTCATACTGCTTGGGAGCTTAGTCTCACTAGAGTTTGAAAAGCAGACTACAGGAAATACTTGGGAAACATATGATGGCTCTGTCTGTTTGAGGCTCCTTTGTTGTCTGTGGATATGAATGCATTTTGAGATGGGCCCTAAGTTAAGCAGAAAGCACTGGTTGCCTGTCAGAGCCCATTTTGGTGAGTAAAATTAAGTGCACAATATCAGCAAATCCATAATAGACATGAGAGGGATTTTTCTGCAAGCTTGTGCTGTTGAACAATAGATGTGCCATGGCAACCCTCAGTGCCAATGAAGCCATAATCCCCTCCCATTTTCACTGCTTTCAACCCTGCTCCCCACCACAGCCTCCACAAGAAGGTCCCTCATCAGGCCCAAAGGACACAAGACATGACATTATAATATTGATGTGGTTAGGAAAGTAAATTATTTACAATCATTCATATAAAATGGGGCGACAGTGGCTCAGTTGGTAGAGCATTGGCCTTTGAGCCTGGATGTTGTGGGTTCAAGCCCACCTCAAGACCTACTTCACGACTCCCACTGATGACTGCTGTCGTTGTGTCCTTGGGCAAGACACTTAACCCCACTTTGCCTGAAGCTCCCACTAAAAGATCTCAGCTCTTGTGGACTCACCACCTGCAGGAGGATCAGTGAGGGACTGGTGCTCTGTGTACTGGGTGCAGCTCTGACTGCCACCCCCGACCCGGAAATGAATTAAGGGGAAGAAAATGGATGGATGGATGGATCATATAAAAAGGGTGCATGTATTCAAACTAATATGTTGTATTTTGCATTCAAACTAAGACTCAAAGAGCAGGCCATAAAATATAGACATTACTGAGCACTAGGAATAAAAGGAGCATTCAAACAAAATGGTGAGACAAAAAGACATGAAAAGAGAAGGTCAGTTATCGCAAGAAAATTATAAACAAACATTCTCTTCTCATACTTGTCATATTTGGACTAATTACCAGTTATGTAATCTGTAAGTAGTCTAATAATAATACATGTATGTATTGCAGTTCATCTATAGGCAACCATTAGTTTCATAATTATGCAAATAAGGGTTGTTGCCATAGCGATTAACAATTTTTTGTTTGATTGAATGACTAATTTATTTTGTGTATGTGAAAATGATCTTATGTGATCAGCATGTGTGATACCCAGTGCAGACAGTAGAAATGACAATTCTCAAAGGGAGTGGGAAGATTCTAGAATACAATGTTGTATCTTTTTGGGAAAACTGTTGAATGAATTGCATGGATAATTCATTCATTCTAAAGGGACAGTATGGACAATATTAAAACTATCTGTTTCCTCAGACACTGTGCCAACATGTAAAATTCATATTTGGCATTTTCTGATCAACATTTGTGCTTTCTATCAAAACCCCACACCTGCAGTAGGAGCCGCAGAAGTGTGTCTCCTGTTTTCAGTTTAATATGATGGCCACAATAGGTCTATTTGACAGCATTCTTTAACTGGCTATTATAGTTTATACAACAGCAAAGATACTTTATTTAACTGAACCATCGTTTCCTATCATTTCCTAGAGCATGCATACTTGTTCTTACTTATTTTCCAGGCACCTATTGAAAGCTAATCAATGGACTGGGAGGAAATGAAAAAAGACTAAGTGCACATTTGGGAACAGCTAAATGATACATGTGGGATCATCTCATTCATTTCTTGCACAGCTTTTGGCCTGTGACACACACAAACTGACAAGCTTGCACTTTTTGAGAAGGTTGTGTGCTGTTCTTTGTTATATAAGCCTGGAGACACAGGAATGCTGCATACCTGCTGATTCCCCTTGGGTTCCAGGCTCCAATGTGCGGCCCCCAGAGCCCCACACCCATGACACCAGCCACCCTCTGTTTGCCTCAGTGTCACTAATTAATACAGTCGTTATCAACACAGGGGATTTCTATAGACTACTACCACTATTCCTGCAGCTACATCTACTGCTACTACTACTACTATTACTACGTTTGAGCAGGGTGTTGGTTTCTCAAACGAGGGTGTACTTTTTGTCGCCCTCGTTTTTGAAAGCAACAAAGTAAAGTGAAATGATCTAGTATCTACTGTTGGGATTAAAGCAGTAGGAGATAGAGCCATCTAGAGGCGAAACCATGTAAATACAATACAATGTTTGTATCTATTACCTATTACAATGTAATTACAATTGGTAAGATAATTGCAATGGATTAGTAATTACTGAATCAAATATTGTTTTACTTGTTTTTACTTTAATTACATATTTACTTTACAAAACATCTTTAAAGCCATGTTAACAATGTGGTTTATATGAACAAATTTCTATGTGCAATAACACAAATACCAAAATGTGGGGTAAAGCCACAGCTGCAATTACAACTGTCTTCTGCAGTTTCACATAGTCTTAATAATCGATTCAATTAAATTGAAAATTATTTTATATTACTTATATTATGATGAATCATTCTATCATGCAATTGAATGTTTAAACAAAGCAATTAGTCTCTGAATTTTGCAGGGAATGGCATGTACTGATGAAATAGAATTAATAATAGTTAATTTTGAGTTACTTCTTGCATACTTTTATGCTATACTCTTTCATGACAAACTTGACTAAGTTTTCCCAATATCCTACCAAACAAAGTACAAACTGGGTTAACTATATCCGAACTGTGTACATTTTTAGCATTTTGGATTTAAATATATTGAAGCATTAAGTGACCATATTTTAACCACTAGAGGGCACTCTATCACAGCTGATGTCGAGTACACTTAAGAAGTACACATTTTGTGCACAATGAATAATACATCTCAGAAGTTCAGGCTCTCACAAAAACATTACATTAATTGTGGTAACAACACAGAGAAGATGGGGATGGTATATTTTTGGTTGGGAGATTTTTATCAAAACTAAAATTGTTGCTCACACTCACACAGTTGTTTATATAACACACAAAAAACAGTAGTTACAGCCTATTATAATCTTTATTGTTATCTGGTGAACATGAAATGTTGTCCTCCTAGAGTTAGAAGGTCTGGTGGACAAATGTGTACATTAGTTTATTCACCGAAGTGCAAGATATTCCCCAGAGCTTCAGCAAATCAAACCCTGTGTTTGTCATTGTGCAAACGGATGAAACACTTACACTTCTCATGTGACAATCAGCTGCAGTGAAGCAGAAAGATATATCCTTTACGTCCTTCTGTGGGGTATGAGAGAAAACATAGTGAAAATCTGTATTTATAGAATAATGTCTGCTTCTACACAATGTTCTAATCCAGTGGTTGCCAACATATTCTTTAGCCGTCGGGCCGCCTGCTGCTCCAAAAAATACAAAAATATTTGTATGTACTGTATGTTTTCTCACAAACAAAAAGAGACTTTTCCTTCCACATGCACATTTCTAACCATCTGTATGGGACCTGGAACAAAATCCCAACCTAAAAACCTCAAAAAGTGTCTTTGCTGAGAACCTCCACTAACCAGACCGCCAACATGGCTGCAGTCGTGACAATACTTGCACTAATAAGACCGTGGGGATTGTTTGCAATAATAGATCGAATGCAAGGATTGGCTCTGTGTATAACTCGCTGTGTGCAATAGTGTTATAATTATTTCATTTTTAATGTCATTGTTTTTATCCTGTTGTGACCCCAAGCTCATGACTTAAATCTGGCATGTTTTTATATATGTCTGCTCTTTGAAATGTACTGTCCCATTCAAATAAATAAATAAATATAGATCAGAGAAACACATGCGTAGTGTGTTATGAATTATGTTGAATAAAACACTTACCATGATAGTAGAAGACTATTTAATCCAGTTCCAGTTTCATCTGGTTTAAAGACACAGTGAAAGAGGGAGAAAAACAGGATTTAATGGTCATGATACTTTTGATTGTCAGTGTTAAAAGCATGTGTAATACTATCTACATTAATTTGACAGCTTTTTATTTGATAGACAGACTGCCAAATTATGAGTCAGGCGCTAATAGCTTTTGGGTATGAGTTGGTTTATTTCCTGGAGGCATAAATTTCTAAAATGTCTTTCACTTAATTGGTCTCATTAAATGTACTTTTAGGCGCCGGTTAAATGGTGAGCATTTGAGCCTTGCCTGCTTTTTTATGATGAATATGTAATCACTCGTTCAGCCCTTAAATACACATGATGAATATACTAACAGGACAGAAGCAGAGGCAGCCTTAATGACACATGTCACGATAATTGAAAATGAAAAACACATTTTAAAACTACTGTAATACACTGACCCAGTAGGTAAATATGAATAAAAGAGGAAATATATGGGGTACTAACCATAATAATAAGTATTTTATTCTTAAGTTGTCCTGTCTTCTTTCTTTGTAAAGTTGAACGGTGTTGCTAACATTTTATGGGGGAGAACTGTGAAATGCATGCTGGGAAATGTAGTTCGATCCAGCAGCTTACGTCTATCAGGGACCGGTCGTTTTGGTTCAAACAAGAAGTGTCTTCTTGTTATTCAGGTACAACAATAAACATTTTTCCTTAATACAAATTATGTCTAATGGTAGGCCTAACTTTGACTGAACGAACAATGATTACAATAGTAGCCAAAACAAGTATAGGCTGGACCACGTGGGTGAAAATGATAATAAATTAAATAGTAATTAAGTACGAGCCCTTCGGTGGTAAATAACAAATATTTGGGCCCTCCACGCAGGCAGCTGATCGTGTAAGGGCGTCAGCAGCTGCCCTACTGGGTTTCAAATATGGGCAGGGTAAAAATGGCACCCTTTGACATGAGAGCAATAGCTGCTAAAAACAGAACTGACTCCAACAAGATAGTAGGCCACTCCAACTGCAGGGCAAGAGCAGCAGGGCAAGAGCAGCAGGGCAGTACTGGCCTGGACTTTATTATATACGCAGTTTGCTGTAGTTTGGTGTCGTTTATTTAACCATGAATTCCATGGACAACTTGGAAAAACAACTTATTTGTCCAATATGCCTGGAAATATTTACAAAACCAGTGGTCATCCTACCATGTCAACATAACCTCTGCAGAAAATGTGCCAATGACGTTTTTCAGGTAAGTGCTTGTTTATCTAACCTATTCAACTAGAATGTATGCTTTTCTCAATCTGTAATATGATGGTTCTTGATATCGTAAATTGTAGATTCATAATGATCTTTTGTTCATTTGTATTAAGCTTTTACAGCTGTTTCACTGACAGTCATTCATACAGTAGACTATCTACAACTAACCTTGTGGGCGATTAGAGAATTTTCAGAAATTGTGCAGCACAGGCCATAGTGTTTTGTTAGAAATTAAACTTTGTCTGGAGATATGTTTTATTATTTATTGATATAAGATGATGATGCATATTATAACCATGGTCTTGCCCCTGTTATAAATACATTTTAATTTGTAATGTTTTGTATACATTATAGGCAGCAAATCCGTATCTTCCCACCAGAGCTGGCTCCCTCACATCTGGAGGCCGCTTCAGGTGCCCCTCCTGCAGACATGAGGTAGTACTGGATCGACATGGAGTTTATGGACTACAGAGGAACTTACTGGTTGAGAATATAATTGATATGTTCAAGCAAGAGTCCAGTAGGTAAGGTATTTGACACAAACAAGACATTTTAATGTGTGAAATGTCCCAAGTATAGAATAACTGAGGACTTGATATTAACATGTATTACTGTATGTGGTGTTGAAGTATTATTAGTTGTGACCATGCAAATCCAAATATGAAATCAAGTCTGATGTTTCGTCTAGATCGGGGATGGACCCTTGCAATTATCAATACTGTGAAGCTTCCCCCAAAAAAAAACATTTTTAGAGGAAGTTACCAGTGACAAATAGAGAACACAGGTAGCTGCTGCTCAGACTGAACACTGATCATTTGTTGCAGGTGCTAAAATGTAGGGAGAGACCAAACACAGTGGATTATACCAAAGTAACTGGCAACCAAAATGAGAGGCTGAGCAGATACTCAAATTGAGAACCATAAACGGAACCATAAGGAATAAACATCATAACATTTGTTAGCAGAAAAGGTTACAAATGTTGTTTTATTTCAACCTGACAAGATGCATCATGTTTTTTTGTAGAACCAGGCCTCGTTTACAAACAATTATTCAATTTAATTCAAAATGTTCTATTTGGTATGATGTAGGCCAATTTACCAGGAGGCTCAAGGTCCACATATTTCAGTTGATAGAATGTATTAATACCATTTCAGTATTAACACACCGTATTTATCTATTTTTGGCAACAGAATGATTACATTGCAGATAGCGGTTGAGCATGGCCTGGGAGAGCGATGGATTGTCGATACAGAACTGAAATGTGCACTTGTGGCATTATCAAAGTGACAATATGCATCAAATTAACATGCAGTACCAGGTATGAGCGGACAGTCAAGTAGCTCTGCTCTCTCTCAAAAGCACAAAGCCAGAGCCAGTGAAGGAAGAGGCGCCCATGTGTGAAGTCCACAAAGAAGAAAAGATTAACATTTATTGTGTGACCCATGGGGTGCCAACCTGCTCCATGTGCAAGGTGTTTGGGGCACACAAAGACTGTGTTGTGGAACCCATTAGCAGCATTTTCCAGACCAAGAAGGTGAGTCTAACAGTGGAGGTATCAAATGGAATAATACATAACACGTACTTAATTATTTTTAATATTTTTATTTATTTAAGTAGGGATAGTACATATTAATGAACAACAGATTTTAGCCGTAGACTAATTTTCATCTGTTGTCCCTAGACAGGCTGATGTGAAACTTCACATTTAACATCAAAATCACAAAACAATACCAGAAACAAGACATCTACAGGACAAAGAACAGAACAAGATACACATTCACATTTACTGTACAAGGTACATTTGGGATTAGGTAGATACAATAACAAAAGACTGGACAGGACAGAGGACATGGAGGACAGAGGACAGGCGAGGGTAAGGCAGAAAGTGATTGAGTGCGAAGGCGGTTTACTTCCACAAACCCAGCATAAGTCACTTCATTAATTGCTAAATTGATAAAAATCTAACATAGATATATGATCTACATAGATATAAAAAAAAAAAAAAGTGCTGCGGTGCATTGCACAGAGCCCTAAGGTGCATGTTGACAAGTTTGGGTTGATCTGAGCCACTCTTTTATGTGACTTTTAAATGATTTGAAGCTTGGGGCTTCCCTCACAGTAGTTGGCTTTTTGTTCCACTGGACACTGCCTTTATAGGACTGGACATTTTGACCAAAGGAGGTTTTCCTCATAGACACCTCACGATTGCTTTTGCTCATGGACCGAGTTGTTGTCGAAGCGCTTGTTCTGTTTTTAGTGTAGCTTGTTCAAAGTGGTGTAGTACAACATAAAATGGAATACTTAACTGTCAGTCCCAGATCAGCATAAACAGGGAATAATGAAAATGAAATGTTTATAAGTAAGTGTGACATTAAGTATTGTGATGTGATGTTCTGCCTCCACAGACAGAGCTCAGTGATGGGATTGCCATGATGGTTGGGACTAACGACCGGATGCAGGGCATCATTAGTCAGTTGGAGGAAGCGTGTCGTGCAATAGAGGTCAGTGTATAACAGGTGCAGTCACTCAGCAGGGCTCAGCGTGTACTTGAGCTACTGCACCTATAACACCATAACACCAGTTTATCAGTTCAAGAGGTTAGGTTGTGGTCAGGAAATAAAATGACCGACACATCTTGTTCACCCTCTGTTATTCTGCTGTGCCATGGCTAATGTCATAGGGTGAAACCTTAGGATGCATCCAAAGGTTTCAAATAGTACTGTATGGAAGTATTTTTGTGGCCCTCTAAATCTGTGCAATCTTATGCTAATGCTCTTTAATCCAGCATGCCTGATCATTGTACCATATAAAATGCGGTTAAGGTTCAAAATGAACTGTTTGTGCTGTGTCCGTGTTGTGGCAGAAAGAGTCTTAATACAATCATACCCTAAAAAACAAAATAATCATGACTTTTAACAGCATGGTTTTCATAAAAGCATTTTTGCATTCTGTCAGTATAGGCCTGGGTCCTTTAACTTGATAAAATGTATGTGTTATCAATCAGTCTAGAACAGAAACCGTTCAAGCATCAGGGAGTGATCTCCATCTTATGTAGGTTTATGCATCTTCTGAAAACAACCTTATATTGTCCTGTATAGTTTTCATACTTTAATGTGTCAAAATGTGTATGTTTTGTATGTTGTGCTTTTGGCAATAAATATTACCTTTATTGATATCATGTTTTTTTTAAATTATGTGTATGCCCAGGAAAATAGCTGTAGACAGAAGACCTTGCTGTGTGAGAAGTTTGATCACTTGTACTCAATCCTGGAGGACAAGAAGAGGGAGATGTTTCAAAAAGTTGTTGTAGAACAAGATGAGAAAGTGAACTACATTCGGGGACTCACCAGGAAGTACGGAGACCACCTGGAGGAGAGCTGTAAGATTGTGGAGACCGGCATCCAGACCATGGAGGAGCAGGAGCAGGCTGTTTTTCTGCAGGTAACTTTGAGAATCCAGACACTCTTTTGATTTATGTACAACTAACTTAACATATTTTCAACTTTTTTATCTGAAGGCCACAAAGCCTCTTCGCCAAAAGTAAGTCTGCTCTTACCAATCCGCAATTTATTACAGTGTATAAACTATCTCTTGAACCCTATTAAGATACTATGCATGTCTAAGTTGAATGTAATTATGTGAAATTTAGCGAGAAAATCACTCAAATTATTGTAATTATTCCAAAAATAAGTCTGATGATGGAGATTGATAGTATTTATTCAACAATACAATCATTTGGAGTGACGAGTAACCCTTGTTGCACTATGCCCTCTGAAAGGATTGGGGAGGCTTCGAGTATTGCTCACTTGGAAAAGGTTGAACGTGGGTACGAGAACATGGATCATTTTAGCGTTGACTTTAGAAGAGAACGCCGGGCCCTAAGAAGCATCGACTTCATTCAAGGTAAAAAAAGAAAGTGAAATTGCAGTCATTTTCTCATTATTACATCTTTTTTGTGTTGGGTCTGTAATTATTGCTATTATATATTTTGTGTCTGGGTGCAGATGAAGATGATGAAGATGAGGAAGGGGAGACGGAATCAAACGACACAGAGGTGACACAATCTGTGCAAAGTCTGGCTCTGAGCTCGAGCAAGAGTCCCACTCCCCCCTCCAGCCCGCTTCCAAATACCAATGTGTGAATGCGAGGCTCAATGGCGCAAGCAGTGTTCACTATGTGCAATATTGGACTTGGATGTCAACGTTTTTATTCCCCTCTCTTTGTTGTTAATGAATATTCTCAGATGTTTTATGTGTTTTTTTGTTTTCTTTTTTGGGGGCGGGTGGGGGAGATTGAGTGTGACGCGATGCCAAATGGATTTATTTGTGTAGCTGACCTGCTTTCATCATCTTGGGTAACGCCTTCAGTAGGGCTCCAGAATGTTCACTTTGTATTATTTTTACTATTACCAGTTTGATAAATGGCTCCTCTAACATTTCATAACCATGTCGTAACTATGTCATTCTTTCGTTCGACTTCGTCAACCACAAAAGATGATTTTCAGTCATGTAGGGGATGGGGGATGTAATTATGGGGTTTGCTATGATGAGGATGCACACGAAAGCACACGCTACTTACACGTAAAGAGACATCAGACTGAAATGTGAACTGCTTTATTATAATAATACAGTGTAAAAGCATGTAAAGACGTTGCTATTATATGGTATTATAAGAATTACACCTTACGTCTTGGGTGCTGCTTTAATCCTCTGCTCTGTCCCATTAACACAGGCTCATCTACTGTAATTATTGTACCTCATCCTTTACCCAGTTGGATCTTTTACAAACAGCTCAATACAGCGCTAAGCCCCAAGTTGCTAAGTGGGCCAAACACAATAGGATGACTCATACACTCTTGTTTGCTTTACTGTGACACTATGGGTCAAGGAGCAGCCGTGTGCCCAGTGGACACACGGCTGTGCATTTTTCACTCATTAGTTGTAAGTGGTGCACATTTCATCTGTCACTGGGGGCTCTATAATGATGACTTTTAAAATATTGGGTTATGCTCTATATGAAAATATTCAAGATATGTACATACTGTATTACCAAGGCTTATGTGACCGAGATCCACTGTTCTTGGCTTCAGCTTCTAGTTTTCTTCATTTTGCGGACCATTTTCCATTCAATTCAAAAAAAAAATTTCATTGAAATGAAATATCATCCTGAAACCCATATTATTTTAAAAGAATATGAAGCCAATTTTGTACTTGCACATCTTATGCAAATCTGCTGTATACTAATAGATCCAAGTAAATGCAGAAAAAAATGTAAGCATTCCTTTCAATTTTTTATTAGAAATATAGATGATGCTCTTTTGCAAAACAAAAATGACTGGTTGCACTTACGTTTATTAACAAATATCATAAATACATGTATAAATTATAATCTAAAACAAAACGAAATTAAATTGTCTGGTGCAATATGCAACTTATATCCAAACCAAAGGTTTTCAATCTCAAACATGAAGAACGGTCATTCTACAGTGTTGACACAAACATTTAAAATGGCATAAGGTACAATCGGATGTTTACGAGCGAAGCCCGTTTTTGATCAGGTTAAAGCTTCTCTAAACAAGTGTGACAAAGCAGCACTAAATTGTACAGAGCATGTTTTGTGCTGATGGTCAAAATGGAAACAAAAAGTGTAACGGAGGAGAGATCTTTGGGCTGAAGGACTTCACTTTCCAAAGAGCTCCATCATCTTTCTGTTATTCTGCGCCTGTTGCGCGAGCTGCTCCGCCTTGGACATCTCCATCATTTCCCGCAGCAGGTGGAAGGTGAGATCTAGAGATATCGGCGGTTCTTCAGACCTCCTCCCTCGCTCCATGGACTCATCTCCGCGGTCAGCCAAGTCTCCTATGAGCGCCCTGATGTTGCCAACTTTTCCCTGTAAGAGGCGCCGCGTCAGCTGAAGTTGCAGAGCTCTGTTGAAGAGGGAGGAGGGTCCCCCGGGATACATTGAAGAAGTCGATGGAAAAGTGTTCGAGTCCCCGTTGCCCAGCCGGATGAAGTACTCCTCTCCAAGCCGCTCCAAGATAGGACCAGGCTGCAGCTGGGAGTTTTGGTTCTGTGGAGCGGGGACGCGCAGAGCACTGCCAGGGCTTTCAATTGCCCGACATTCGAAGCGCGGTAAGAAGGCAACAAGCAGAATAACTGTGGTTCCGAGTAAATTGAGCTTCATGTCAGGATTTCAACTGGAATCTAAAGTACAGACAAAATGAACATACATTACAGATTTAAAGAAAACGAAATCCCCATGCATATGGATTTTGCAGAGAAAAATCTGTACATTCTGATGAACAAAGTGCATGCAAAATGACCAGAATGCTTTCAAGTCATGTTCAAAGACTGCTTTATAACTTTAAATGACAATATTCTGTTTGTTTTACACACTTAAAGTGTCACTTTTGCGCGTAATGCTGTGCGTAAAGACGCAAATGGAGAGAAAAACATATTTTCTTGAAGGTTTCCCCCCCCGTAAATAAGCAAACCAATAATATAAAGGGATAGGCAATGTGTAGAATATATTTAAAAATCCAGTGGAAGTTAAAAGCACAAGAAAACAGAAGACAGGAAATCAGAAAATCACTTGAGAGCTTACCTTAATTTTTAGAGGAGGTCCGGTGTTTGTGTTGCAGGTGTTTGGTGAAAGTCTTCCTCTTGCCTGCGCTCAGAAACAAGTATAGCTTTAGTCCCTTAAAAAGAAGATGCTGAATGGACTTATATAGTCACGCTCACTATAAGTGTCGCGCTCCAAAGTGAGATTGAGTCTGCGCGTTCCTGCTGGGTGTAATGTGAATGGATGCGTCTGACAAAGTGCTTTAGTTTAGATGAGATGAGTCATATGTGAGCGTGCGTGCGTGTGCACGTCGGTGTACCTCTGTGCTTTCAGCAGTGGCCTATAGGTGCCACACCTGACATTTCAGTTGAAGGGCTTAGTAAAAGTGATTGCAAGGGGTTTATAGAGTTTTATAAAGAAAGACGACCAACTAAACTGCCGGAGTGACCTAACTAAAAATACATTTCAATAAAGCTTTTGGAAAAATTGTGTTTTCTTCTGATAGAAGTCAAACTGAACGAAGAAATGGAAGTTGTTTAGAGGAAACATTTACTTGTAGTAATCGTACATGCCTTTGAAAAAACAATTCATCATGTAATCAAGAAAGTTTGATCAGACTTATGTATGCAGTGATTCATGAATCCTGGACCTTTTGCGTCACAGCTTCTGCAGAACAGCCTCTAAATGGTTATAGCTTTCAATGTACGTCTAATATATCTATATTTTTGGTATAATTCAAGATAGCTCATGTAGGACTATTGCAAGGGGGTTATCAAATGTGTTAATATGAAATGCATGCTCCTACCTTTACCTTTGCTTTTTTAGATTAAACGTTAGAATGAAATCAGACAATATATGTTTTCATGCTCAAACTAAATTGGTTGCATTCAGACTTCTGTAACTCACTCTGAATTGAATTTAAGACTCATTTGAAGATGTAAAAGTGATTCAGCACATATCGTGCACTTGAGTAATGGAGAACAATTTTCAATTTCAGACACAGACCTAGAGGAAATTCATATTTGGGGAGGCATTGCAGAGCTCTAAGTCTATCTAAGATGTGCCACCTTCAAAATGTATATGATTCCCATGGGGGATAGAGGCAGAGAGAGGATTGTATTATTATTTATATCTTGGGGCATCTTCTTCTCTGTTGCTCCTCATGCTCAGCACAGCTTAGAGCAGAGCTTGTCAAGTCCCATCAAAGAAACACATGTTGTCTGGCACAAATAGCTAACATCCTCCAATTTGAAAGTGACTGCTTGTGGTCAACTCATGTCACCTCATTTTCAAATCACTGTCCTTCATGCAGAGAGAAATCCTATGTGACGCCACGCCGGAAAAGACCTGTTTGGACAAAGGCTATTAGAGATAAAGCCCATGATTAGTTTGAAACCCTGATTATGTGGCCTGAGGGAGGGGAATGTTGACACCTGTAATTCCCTCAACATACATATGTCACCACAACATTTGTCAATTTTTGAGTTTCCCCTCAGTCTTCAGTATTTGTAAATATTTCCCTGTGAACATTTCAAACCACTCTGAAATGGACATTTTAAAAAGTTCAGCTGCCAAAAGACGGCTAAAAAGAATACAATTTCTATTACTAATTTTTGATACAATGTTGTGTTGCTTATTTTGTTGCTCTGCTTTATGTGCTGCTGTCTTGTTTGTTTGTGTAAATGGAATTTGTTCTCAATTGTGCTATGAATAATGTTATTTCAAGGAACGGGAATTAAATCTATATCAGTATATCATTATCAAAATGTTAGCAAGTTAGTCAGCCTTGCCCTTAGGCCAATCATAAGGCTGCGGTGCATGAGAAGCAGCTCTGCCTAACTTTGCAAGACAATTTCCTGGCAGTCAGAAAAAATAATAAAATAGACAATCAACCAGAACAGTTACATATAAACTTTTACGTAAAAACAAAAAACAAATCAGACAAATTATAGCAACATTTTAAAACATTTACACAGTCAGCATTCCACCATCCCTCTCTTAGTTAAACTATATTCAGGTGTCGTTACAAGGTTCTTTCCATAATGCCAAGAGAAGCTAATATACATTTATCAATTATATCACTAAACCATGTTTTCTGGTCCAGGAAACTCTAGTCTGAAATCCCTAGTGGGTCAGTGGTATAGGGCCACTAGACCATTGACACGGAAAAATGGTGAAAGTCACAGTCTTTGCGATAATAATAGTTGTCTGATTTTGAGAAGGCTCTGTTCATGGGGCCACGTCACCTCAACTGGAGCTCAGGTGTCCTTCTCCTTCATAAACTCTTAAAAACACATGCCCTTTCAAATTGCTCAAAGTGGCCTTTTTACCAGATGTCAACCACTTACAGTTAAAAAGACACAGAGAGCTGAAGGCCACATTAGCACTGCACAATGGCTCACATGTTTTTAGTTTGTTTATTTAGATTCATTTTCTTATTTGGCATCATTCCAAAGCTCTGAACACTTAGAGAGATGAATATGACTCGGAGACACCTAAATCGTGGTGCATTGTTCAGAACTACAACAAGCAAATCACTCGAGCAGTCACACAAAAACCCTTTCCTGAGACCACACACTT